ACAGGAGTTTGATCAGGAGAGATTTCTTGCAGAAAGGTACGTGAGAAACGGGCCGTACCCGTGATAAACCACGTGATATGTCTGGAGAGATGGACGGGGAGGAATCATCGTTGAGGAAGAGGTTGTAAACTCATCTGCCTATATTTGCAGCGTCTCCCCATTGTTGCCATAATTCTTTAGGTGTGATTTGTAGTTTTAGTGAGGTTTTTTCTTCTCAGGTGAGAAGTTGGCCAGGGGATGCTTGTTTTCAGGGCAAAGATTCCCTGTGCTGCCTCCTTGGCTAATATGTCAGCCTCTACGTTTCTCTTATATACAACATGGGCTTTGAGCCAGATTATAAAGAAATGATGACCTTGGGCATTGGAGGACTTTCTAAGAATTTATTGAGCTAATATTGATTTGTTATTTGTGTTCATGAGTGCATGCATTGCCGAGAGATAATCTGTATAGGTGTAAGTCTTTGGAAAATGATGATGTATGCTTACGCTGATTGCCCGCAGAATCGCGAACACTTCCGACTGAAAAACGCTATTCTCTTTGTCAAGTTGGAACTTGAAGTCTTTTGTGTCATGATCATTGAGATAGATTTTTAAAGCACATACTTTTCCCTTGTTTATGCCAGAACCATAAGTGTAGATCTTCGGAAATAATGTTTGGTATGTATTCTGCCTTATGCATATTTTGATATTATTTCGGCTAGCTGGGTAGCTTTCATATGGATGGGTCGGTGAGGTGTATGAGCTGGCAGCTACTATCTCATATTATTTTGAAATCTTTTCTTAGCTGAAGAACTGAAGCCTTTGCATGTTCCTGCTCCGCAAATAAGAACAGGGGGATGCTGCTGATAAGCTGAAACAGTGCGGCATTTGAGGTTGTTCTGTAAACTCGGGAATAATTTAAAAGAAAGGGCCTTTGGATGGATTGGAGTTGCTTTTGTTTCTCGCCGTTATTGGTGACGCCCATATCGCTGCACCATACAGTGCTATCTTTTCTATAAACAGTGCTATATAACAGCTTTTTTATCTGGGGGTTCAAGCCCATCCGACACCTTGCATGCTTTTCAGGATGTTAGCTATACTGGAGGTTTTCTTCTTAATTTGCTGTAGTGCTTAATGAAGTTAAGTTTATTATCTATTGTAATTCCAAGATATCTTAATGATTTGATTATTTTGATTTTGTTGTTGTCAATTCACGAAAGCAGATAAGAAACACAAAACTGTGAAGTAGTTGACTTATTTAAGAAAATTCCAGGCTGCGAAGAAGTTACTAGTGGTGACGTTGAGAAATGGATGGGACAAAATGGAAATTGTGAAATTTTAAGACATGCAGAAATAGCTGCCCTAGTGAAAGACCATGTGGATAAAAATGAAGACAAATCAGAAAACGAGGAGATTGAAGACAACGGAAAAGCTAAAATGATGACCCCCAGTGAAGGACTGAAGGCCGCTGAAGAATTCCGTTACATTGAGGAGCAAGGTGCATCTGGTATGGACATTTTGTTCCTCCGTCGCTTACGGGATAAAGCTGCACTACAACGGAAGGAGTGTGAGAGACAATCTAGCATGAAACGATATTTTTCTACCAAGAATTACTAATAATTTTTTTCCTTTTTGTATGCAAGGTTTTTTTTTCCTCAATTATCTTAGGGTATTTGTTCTTTTTATGACTCCTGTTGTGCTGGAACCTGACATAAAAATATCAACATTAATTTAATTGCATGCTGTACGTTTCTGTGTCGAATATTATGCTACAAATGTGTAGAGTAATTTACAGTTAAATATTAAGAGTTCTGAAAAGTCCACCTATTATTCCGTAAAACTTGACTTTCCGAGAGCTCGACAGTCCTTCAGTTCACATTATGTCAAGTTTGCGAGACTCTACTGTATTTTATGAAAAACGAAAATCCCTCTTTTAAAACAAGAGTGAAATGTTATTTTGGCTAATTTCTAGAATTTTTTTCATTTAGCAGTATTTTGATAACTTTTTATTTAAACTTTTATTTAAAATGAGAGATTTTAATTTTTATACCCACTTTACGTAATAAATCCGGAAACTTGATCTTGCTATATTTGAAGGTGAATCTACATCTTTTAAATATCTCAGAGCCCAAGGTCATAAAACCAAAAATTAACCGTGTGTAGGAAGAGGGGCGAGGTAAAAAAACACATTCCATTCAGAAACAATATAATTTTGAAACACCAGACCTTCAAATAAATATAATGAAGTACAACTTTATTACTGAGGGAGTTAATTCAGGAAACATTAAATTAAAAATTACTCCTCAGTAGCTACATTTCGAGTTTTCGTTTTATATATGTAAGGAGGAGCGACCGTACTGGAATCTGAAGTCTATACTGTATTGATTTAATTGTATGGAAGAAAATAAACCTTTCTTCCGTATATTATAAATAATAAATAAATAGAATTCGATATTAAAAATCTGAAGTAAATACTTCTTATTTGAAACTAAATTTCCCTCTTGTTTTGTCCTTTATTTCCCTTTGTTCAACAGTTGTTTTAAATAGTCACTTTGTACGTTTCCGTTAAAGTCATAATAATTGGCGCCTTTTTTGCTCTGGCGTATTTCTTGGCACCAGGTGTCGCCATTTTGGGTTCATTTCTTCCCTGGAGACAAGCTGCCTTTCTAACTGTCTTTCGCGTAGCAATGGTTTTCAATTAAACAGTTTTTTTTTCTTTTAATAACTGCCAGAAATTTCTGGATTTGGGATTTGTCAAGAGATAAACGTACGGTTATTGTACTTCTTCAAGTAAGATGTATTCTTTACACACGCAAGGCAAAAAGAAGTTGAAGTTAGGCTAAATAAATATTTCAATGTAATTAAATAGCTAGTAGGAATTTGCTGGGGATGTGCGATTTCTACCTTACTTAAAACTTACAAAATGCTTATGAAGCTTGATATGAAATATTGCTGTATTCCTATAAAATCTGCGTCTGAGAATTTGAAAAATAAGTTAGAACGTTTACAAAATCAGGATCTTCGCTTTGTTACAAGCGTTGCAAAAATAACCCCAACAGATGCTGTGATACGTTATACTACAGATTATACCTCAATTACATTGCGCACCATTTCTTGCTAATTTTTTTAAAGGATGTATTTTCGTAAGAATAAATTTTTAAATACTCATGAAATTTTCTTAGAATTCGTGTAATGCTGCTATCCTTTAGTAGACTGGAACGTGCAACAACGAAAAAATGTTTCGAAAAGGAAACCATTTTAATAAAATAAAGGTAATACAGACACTGCTGGCCACCGTAAATGCAACATCCTGAAGGAAGTATGCAAGTAACATGAAATTTGCAACATGCATTAGCGGAGGTGAGATATGCAAATGAGTAGAATTTCAGTGCAGACGCACATCACGCGTGCCTGCGGCGCCACTTCAAAGCGCTATTTAAGGCTTGGAGTTATCGACGATTTCAAGTTCAGCAATCGTGTTTTTCTTGTGGTTTTTTTTCAAAAAAATGATCAATTATGCCTCGTAGTAAACAGCGATCTTCGTTTGATCAAGTACCCGAGTTCGACAGAGAAAGGATAGTGGCCTACCGAGAGTGTGCATTATCTTTCAGGGAAATCGGTAGTCGTGTTGGACGAAACCAAACCACTGTAATGCGAATATGTGACCGTTGGATGCAGGAGGTACGAAGGAACGACGTGTTCGATCGTATCCGCCTCAGCGCACCACTTCACGTGATGACAGGAACATTGTGCGCATAGCACTAACAGATCGCTCAGTCACATCACGAACCATAGCACAGCACATTCAGTCTGTAACGCATCATCCAGTGTCTGAGCGTACCATTCGACGCCGTTTACAGCAGAGTGGTCTGTTCGCAAGACGTCCATTCCTTTGTCTACCCTTGACGCAGAACCACAGACGTCTCCGCCGCCAATGTTGCGATGGAAGAAGGATGTGGAAGGCAGAATGGAATGAAATTTTCTTTATTGATGAGTCACGCTTCCGTCTGCAACACCACGATGGCAGATTCGAGTCTGGAGACACCGTGGAGAGAGGATGCTGAACAGCTGCGTTATGCACCGTAACACTGGTCCTGCACCGTGTATTATGGTATGGGGCGGTATTGGATATCACTCTTAAACTCTTCTAATAAGCATTGCCAGTACTTAAAACAGCCAGCGCTACATCTCCGAGGTGTCGGAGCCAGTAGTCCTTCCTTAACTTCAGGGCTTGCCCACAGCCATATTGCAACAGGATAATGCGCGACAACACGTGTCACGCATTGTCCAAGGGTTCTTCGTCAATCCCCAGATTGAATTGCTTCCCTGGCCGGCTCGCTCTCCGGATCTTTCGCCGATAGAAAACATGTGGTCCATGATTGCTGAACGATTGACCTAGATTATATTCCAAGCTGCCACAAAAGATCAACTTTGGCAACGTGTGGAAGCTGCTTAGTCTGCTGTATCCCAAGGACACATCCAAAGTCTCTTTGAATCAGTGCCGAGGTGTGTGGCAGGGGTGATCTCCAAAAATGGCGGCTACTCTGGCTACTGATTCTGGAAGGAACCACACTTCACAGAATTCTATAAATTTAATTATTTGATACTTGGTCAACATGTTATCTACTAAATAAATTCTGTTGTGATATCTCTTGTCTTTCTTGGTGTTGCAATTTGAGTGATCAGTAGCGTAGAATACATGGCTAGGGCCCGCCAGCGGCCGAGCGGTAAAGTCGCTGACTACTGCTAGTTCGATCCTGGGCTCGAATGTTGATGGGCTGGCGAGATGGATATCCGTGTGGCTTTCCGTAGGTGTAACTTGGATATAACTTGATTAGAAAGTCCTCCACGAAGGTATACTTGTCCTTAGACAGAGGACCTTCGAATGCTCTGACATAATTAAATAAACTTATACGAATATAGGTAAGAAAAAAATTTAGGTATATGAACACAACTATTTTAGTCATAATCTGTCAATTATTAAAAATAAAGCATACATTATATTTCAACAAAAATGTTTAGTCACATGTTCAAAACATATTTATTTATAGAATCCCATAAATATCATTACTCAACAATTAAAATAGTGCATGCACAATCATAAATTAAGGAAAAATATAATAAACTTATCGTAATTACGGATGCAAATGTAATATTATTAAAAGAGAGCGGAAATATATTTTAAATATCATACCCAACACTCCGCACACCCACACACATATAAATATAATTTTTTGTAATATTAAGATTTTTAACAGCAAGTATTTACCAAAATTCGGTATAAGCAATAAATAATATTATCTGAAGAGATATTTAATCTTTAGATTTCAGGTTCAGTCATATCGTAAGTATTTATGTAAGCATTTCAGTAATCAATGTATTTTAATCCTTATTCAATGGTCATTATTAGTCTTACTCATAGTATTTAGAGTTTGTAAAGGTATCATTTAAAGAGCTCTTTAAAACGTTAGAAGACATTAATTTAAGTTCTGCTAATTCTGACTCAAGTTCTCTAATGATATTATGAATTTCAGTTTCCAACCTTATTTGGGGTGTTCTGTCATCTTCAGTTAATCGTTTAAGTTCCTCTATTTCTTCTCTGCATTTTGTCCGAAGTCTTCTATTAACAATATTACTGATCTGCTTAGTTACATGATTCTGATTATCTCTTTTTAATATATCTACAATATCAATTACTACTTTACCAGCTGACTTGCATACGTCTACGGTTGCAGGATTATCTTCAGTGAAACTCTGAAAAGAGTCATATACTTGTCCTACAATTTCGCGTTTTGCATTCCTCTGAATAAAATTATCAACAGCTCCGGAAATAGGAGCTATGCTGCCTCCTGCTTGTTTTGTATCCATTACAAACTGATCCAAATCCAAAATATTTCATACTTTTTGTATTGTATTACTATATGTATTTGGACGAACATTACGTATAATTTCCATAATACCCTCATATTCTTTAATGCAACGTGCTCTTGCTTCATAAAAAGTCTTGAAATTTCAGCATCGTGCTCCATAATTTCTTGAAATTTAGTTTGTTGATCATCAACAATAGCAGCTTGGGCTACAGAAGTAAAACCATCAAGTACATCACTTACAATGGTAGTTAAAGAAGCCAGAAAATCCACAGCTTTAGAAACCTGAACTTCTCTTGCATGCCTTGAATGGTAATTTATTTCTTTAAAAATACATTTAGTCGTATTTAAATTAAGTTGATCAGTGTGCACTTCACTTACTAATTTTTTAAGCTTCTGTATTGTGCACTGACGTTCGTTTTCCCATTCTTTGAAAGCTTCATGGAAACGTTTTGCTTTTTCATGCATGTTAAAATTGTTTGTAAGCTTAGTTACAGTATTATTCGTTTGGCATGTTGGATATTTTGAAGCATTCATCTCTGAAACTTGTGTAAAATGCGGATAGTATTTAGGACATGAGGGTTTGGATATTGCTCCATGCATTTTTGTTTCACTGATAACAATATTTTGCCCACTGCACCCGCAGTGAAGTCTAGGTTTGGCCCTATGTTCAGAAGAAGAGTATCGATTATTATCAGTAAGTTTTGAGTCTGATATTCCGTCTGTAACAGTAGAAGTCTTCGAAGGAATTTCGGTTTCTGAATTAAACGTTCTTTCTGCTGCAGACCTGTAATAAATACACAATAATAAAATCATTATAAAAAATTGAAAAGAAATTATGTAATATTAAGTTTATGAAAATAATATGGCAGAAAAATCAGTCCCATTTATTAAAAAATACTATCTGAATGTTTACAATGGACTAAAAACCATTAAAAGATCTCATATAAATGTCAACAAGGAATTAACTTCTTTTTTTAAATTTTTGAATCACAGAAGATTTATTTTTGTGAAAGAGTACATTGCTTATTTTAACATAAAACTACTACAGGTAATAGCAAAATCTACATTTATATAAAAGTAACTTAAATTTCGGTTTACATAGTATCTTACCAAAACCACATCTCATCCAATCTCACCTGATACCTAAAGAAACGAAACTTGTCCGTCATCCTGCTGGCGGTGCGATTATGCACCTCGTTTACAAGCACGATATAAGGCCACAGACAGAAGTACTTTCTATTTTAGTCTTTAACGCAAATTTTGTTTTGTAAATCACTATCTTACGCTAATGACCACAATTATTAAATTTCTTAATTTTTAAAGGAATCCCAAGCCTATAGTGTGTTGTATTTCCGACGCCACAGGGTAAAGATAGCTTAAGCTAAACGAAAGTAATACAGTCAAAAGTCTTTAATCCGGACGTCCATAATCCGGAATGATCTATAATCCGGACCTGAAAGCTACAAACTTTCTGCGCATGTGTCAACGTATAATGCGTTAACGCATGCGCATAATACCTTTACACATGCGCATAAAACGTTTACGCATGAGCGTTTAATGTATAACGGACGGTATAAGCTAAACTAAAATTATCTAATTATCAATTTTAGTTAATGTTGCAGATTGCGTTGTTCCTTAATCTTCTAATTGGATCTGGCTTATAACTTTTTGCAGACTGTTAGAGCAATTTTATAAAAGTAAGCTTGAACTTTCGATTATGTCAAAAAGAATTTCCGATTCTGGAGCTACCAAAGGATATACAAAGCGAAAGCATGTTCCGATGTCCATCAAACAAAAAAGTGGAATTGCTGCCAAAAAATGGATAAAGGTATATCCTTTGATTCTCTAATCATTCCGAAATATGTTTATCAATTTCAAGCTGCTCTGCGGAGGGGATTACTACAAATCTGGAAATAGTCATAAAAATTGGAATTTAAATATAATAGAAATTAATTTTCTTAAAATTTATGTCATTGAGTTAATGTCAAGTTTTAAGCTGCTGAGTTTATTAAATAATTACAGATCGATTATTTAAACATAAATTTAAAACCGTATGTTTTGTTAAATAACTTTCTAAAACCTGGCCGAAATTCTCATAATATAGCCTTCAGACCTGCGCGATACAAAACATGGAGGTAGGAAAGGGAGGAGGGGCCAACCCGCGCTAAAAGTGAAGCACTGCTTTGAAACTTGGGTCACCAGATGGGGTGTTCTTTGTATACATTCAGAAGCTCGCTTGACAAGATTTTAATAGTATTTCGACACACGACAGTTCCATAGAAATCGAAAAAGGGACACTTTCGCATGAAACAAACATTCATAGTGTGATGGATAACAGCAATTTGTATAGTTTAGTGACATTTACGCAAAAATCACATCTTGGTTATTTTTCGATAACTAACAACAGCGATTTTAATTATGAATTTGTTTTATAAAATTATAAGCTGTTGCACTACAAAAATATAGATTTTAAGAAAAATGTTATGCTTAAAGAATGAAAAATACCTTACGGTACCTTTAAAATTCTATACGTCTTTCGATACCCTTGATAGAGTATTCGCTACCTTTATTTTATGTTCCAAACTCCAAAATGTTTTAAATAAAATAAATTGTTTTCACATCCATATATTATTTAACATGTATCTTTTAAAAATTTTTAGAGGAGAGGCTTTACTGCTGCTCATTTTAAACCCATCGTTTTAATTTTATATATCTGAAAAATAATAACTTTGGGCTTACACGTTTTATAAATATAAAATTATGTATGTTAAAATATTTTGTAATTAGGCACATAGGTCAGATTAAGTTTTTATTAAATAGAGTAACGCAAGTAAATAGAGTAACGCATTCTATCTGCCTAAAGAAAGAGATGCCATCGTGGAGGAATTTTGAAGAAAAACTGACCTTTGAGTGGGTATTAAAAATAATACTTATAATTTTCATCCAAATTATATTCATATATATTTTTTATGTAAAACTTTCGGGTGTATGCTAAATTAGTGTAAATTACTTTACACGAAAAATATAGTGAATGCACAGAAATTAAAGATTTGCACATGCCGGAAATGAAAAATAGGAAATATGTATGGGTATTTATGCATGTGCTTGCAAAAAGCATGTATCTGCCTTTGACAGAATACTTAAATATTCATTAAATTATTTATAAATGTATTTGAAATGAAGAATTTATTCACTTATAAACAACTGTGAAAGTACTGTCAAGAAATCTAATTATTAAATGTATCTAATTTATAATGATTATAAATGTTATCTAAATATATAATGACCTTAATATTGAATTGTAAACATAAAAGGTATTGTAAAGCAAATGCTATGAGATGCGCACTTAAGAACGTAATAAAGAGTTTTGGAATATGTATTGTTGAAATGAAGGGTAAAAAAGAAAAATCTGATAAGTATAATTAAAAGAATTATTCCCCTTACATTTTATAATAACTCAGTTACAAGTTTTAAATAATACTTAAAAAAAATAAAAAAAAAACTTTTTTTTATTCCCTTTCAGAAATGTTCAGAGAAAGTCAAGTACTATTTTTTGATACCTATTTAATTATTAGGAATTAGCGAAATACTTATTTAAAGTATTTCGCTAATTCCTAATAATTCTCTAATTTAAAATGAACCGAATAGAGCATTAATTATAAATTGACTTACATTTTTCGATTTAAAAGATGCCTCAGAAGACAAAAAATCATGTAATTTTTAAGAAAGTATTTTAGGAAGAAGCTCTATAAATAGAAAAGAAATAATGCATAATTTTAATATTAATAATACAATAAACTTTGATCTTAATTTTTGTACCTTAACCGAATAAAATCGAATTACCTTAATTTTTTTTTCTAATGTAATTAACGAAAACTTGTGAAAATATTTCATTCAAATTCTGAGAAAACTGTCCTGTGAAAATATAGCATTTAATTCCGTTCAGAATGAAATGTTGTTTAAAAATATGTTGTTTTCACATACTTAGGACTCTGAAGTGTTGTAGAAAAAGAAAATATATACATTTATATGTATATTTACGACGTAATTACAAAATATTTACATCCGAACGCGTCAAATCCCATAGAACTCAATGGTAAATGACCCAATGTTTTGGTCACCACGTAGGGATCGCCGGTGCTTTAAAGCAGGGTACGGGAGAAACTTGTTTAGGGCGACTCCATCTTACTTCCTACCTCCATGATCCAAAACACTTTTGACCCCCTTTGACATAATCCTAATGAGAAAAGTCGTTAGTCCCCTCCATGGATGCAGTAAAATTTACATGTTTGTCGGACGCTGTTCCATAGTAGATGTGTTGCTAGATTTGCGATTTTTTCGATGATTATTTTGCTTTCATTTAAATGAAGTTCTAAATAAATAGTGCGCTGGAAATGCAACCAGTGCACTATTTATTTAGAACAAAATGTATGTAATGTGTATATTTCATTTACTATTTCTGATCAGTCTCGACAATAATTTGTGAATTTTATAACTTTGTTTTCACACTTCATTTATATTCGCATATTTTCGTATTAGAAATTAGAAAACGAGAAATTTTTTTTACAAAATATAGTAAATACGAACTACTTTGTAAGTCTGCAGGTTGAAATGCGATTTTTAATAACGTATTTTCATTAACAAAATAATGGTAATGACTAATTTAAGGAAATAATAATAATAATAAATTCATTAATAATATTTATACAAAAGAAAATCGGAGATACATTTTGCGTGTCATCATTTAACTTTAACAAATATTACATTGGACTATCAGGCAAAAGAGGTATATCTTTAAAGAGAATTTTTCTTTGTAAAATTGGCTTTTGTTTATGATATCAAAGAAAAAAATCTGTGACCTATACATGTATAAGGTATTTCTCTCACTTTCCTAGCGTGCCTTCATGGTGTAGTGGTTCTGCACGCTGGGCCGGTATCTCCAGAGGTCCGTGGTTCGATTCCCGTCGAAGGCGGTTGCTAATGTTACATCTCTCTGGCTTCCAAAAAAACATACCTACACATGCAATCATTAAAAGTATTTTTCAGACAGTTTTAAATCTCTATGAAGAATTATACGTCAATTTCCTTTCATAGGCAGGCTTTTCGTCTAAAACCATCGTTATATCCAAAGGTTGACGTCTATTTCATTTTCAACGAATATTCTATTTGCACATAATATATTTTCTAATTTACTTTAGAAAGAATTATCTTTCACGTTTTCAAAAGAATAAAGGCATACTGGGTGTTGACACTTACAATGTAGTAAATCTGTTTTTCATATTTCTTCCACTAATGAAAACAATAACCCTGGAATATTTTCAAAGCAAAATTAAAAAAAACTGTTTACGCCAAATTTTGCATTAAGTATCTTCTCGTGTATTTTTTTATTTAAAGGGTGAAATTTTCGTTTTGAAAAACATAAACGGAGCAAAATTAATTCATGAGAAATAACTTTGAAATGCAATAATTCCATCGTATTATGAAATAGTGGAGAAAAGTTCAATACAGTATATTTATTCACAAATAATCCCCTCATATGCCTAATTTATGTACTGTCGATTGAGAAACATAGGATAGTAAATTAAACCGGTTATTTCAATACTTTTTCCTTTTCAATTTTATTACGGGCCCTTCAGTAGAGCGATAAAGATGGCTGAACACTTGTAGCTAGCTCGAGTTTGAATCCCAGCTAAAGGGTTGGATTCATGGCTTTTGTGTAACGTAAATACAAGCCAGCTTCCCTTAGAAAGTCCTCCGCGAAGGCATCTCTCCACTTATACAGGT